CATTCTAATTCTCATATACTTTATACTTGAGTTATTCATCTAAATGATATAGGAAACAGTGGCTCTTTTCAGGACGCAGTTAAATGAGGTAATTTACCACGGTAAATAGGACATAGTAGATGGGTAAGAAATGCTTGTTGAATCACTCACTCCTGAAATCGACCATTTCTAATAGCATTAGTTCTCTCTTACCTTTTCTTCTCTGACTCATCTCTTCCCACTGTCTCTGACCTAAGGCCCTAACCAGCCATGCCTGATCTCGCTTTCCCTTTTCCAACCCAAACCCATTGCACTGCCAGACTTTTAAAAGTCCTCTCCCCTCAATGGGGGAAAAGGAGACAAATGTAATACTTTAAACAAAAAAGAATTACAGAAAATAAAAATAAAAATCCTCTCTCCTATTTAAAGAGAGAGAGAGAGAGAGAGAAAGAGAGAGAGAGAGAGAGAGAGAGAGGTGTGTGTGTACTGCCCACTAACAGAAGACCACAAATTTCATCCTCTGTTCATCTTAACTACCTCAATTTGGCCCCATAAGCCTTTCCAAACCATTTTCCCCATGTTTCCAGTGTGCACACTTTATTTCTCTGGTTGGCTTCGTGGGCTACTCGCTGTCAGCCCTGAGTTCAAGGTATGCCATCCCACCACCTCCCAGAAGCCTACTCTGGCAAATTTAAAAGGGCTTTCTTCTCAGAATCAAAGGCATTAAATGCATTCTATATTGTATTTTTCTCTAATTGTTTTACTCATAATTGGGGCAACTCTGGTTCTGTGAACAATTATAACTCTGACCAAGTTTTCAAAAGTCTTAACATCCCTTCCACAGTGCCTAAAATGTATTTCAGTACAATTAAAAATGTAAAGAATGTTAAATAATCGCAATTCTTATAAAAACAAGTTATAAAAGATTTTCTCTATTATGCCAATTCACACAGTTAATCATTTCCCCAGAAACTATATTCTGAAATTTATAGGAACTGAAAATTAGTGATGGAACAGAACATTTTAATACTATAACACAGGATTTTATTTCTGTAAAATAACTTAGCACACATAGTATATTTCAGGCAAATTTCATTTGTCAAAATATATCAGGGATTCCTTTAATTAAAAAATAAAGTTACATCTACACTGCGAGCTCTCTTCATTGCTGTCTGCGTCTGTGGAGCCTGAGCAGGGAGTGTTCTGGTTCAGGGTGAAAGGCAAACATTTCTAAGGCTGCTTTTATCCAGTTCCAAGGTTGCAAATGAGAAATTCTGTTCCTCATACCTCCCTTTTCACAATGTTGAGAGTTACTTTATATTTACTGTTTTTAAGAGAGCTACAGCATTTGCCACACTCTACCTGCTGGGGGAATGCCTTGGTTTACAAAAGCACAAAATGTACTCATACAACACTCTAAGGGTATTCCTGCTTCTGGAATCTTGGCTATCATTTCAAATAACGAAACTATTAGGCAACTGTGGTTCGTACAAAAGTAAGATAATAATAATAATACATCAAACTGATTGCATGGAGTGTCAACTGGCTAATTCTGAATGATGGCAAATAAAACATGAATGGGGCGAAGAATCATAGACACGATGACATGGTTTCCCAGTGTATTTTCAATTTCACATCTTGCTTTTGTGAAGTTTCTGGGAAAAATAAGAAATAAAAAAGCTCTTATTTGCACCACAGATAACCTAAATTGAAGTATTTATGTGGTGGGAACTTGTAGCACTTGAGATGCTTTCTTACTCTCTTCTCTCCTAAGTTTTCTAGCAGTAACAATGGGGTGTTATTATAATCATGATAAACTTCCAAGAGAAGATATGCTTGGGGTTCTTTTAAGGAGGGAGTTTATCATTAGATTAATTGAGCTAATAGGGCATCCATACTTTACCCAGAGTTAAGAAAAAAAAAGTGCAGAATATGATCTCTCACTTGAACATTACTACACTGAAAATTCAATTCACTAAGTTCTAGTGTTTTTATTCTTATAATTCCCTCACTTATTAAGAAAGCAGTTTTGCCAGTTTATTTCCTTTGAAATAGTTCCACCTTTTTACTGATATTAGGGGGTTTAATTTCAACATGGCATAAAGCAGACAATAGACCCATTTGCTTTAGTTTAAGAAGTACCTATTTTGTAAATCTTGAATTTCTCCTCTTTAATATAATCAATCACGTTAAAAATTTTTAAGTTCACTGAGACAAGCTTGGTTCAGTGGATAGAGCATCGGTCTGCGGACTAAGGGGTCCCAGGTTCGATTCCAGTCAAGGCCATGTACATTGGTTGTGGGCACATCCCTGGTGGGGGGTGTGCGGGAAGCAGTTGGACGATGTTTCTCTTTCATCGATGTTTCTAGCTCTCTATCCCTCTCCCTTCTTCTCTGTGAAAAATCATTAAATATGTTTAAAATTTTTTTTTAAGTTCAATATTTTTATGAGACCCAAGTTAATAAAATACCTGATAAAGTAATGCAAACCAATAGATATTGTTTGAATGCAGATATTAACTGAAATCAAATAAGACTTTCCATCTACCATCTGTCTTAAGAAAGTAAGTTTGGCCATTCTAGGCTACGATTCTCAGAACTGATCTAAATTCTTCCTAAGGTCACCAGGCTCATGGTATTACCGTGTTTCCCCGAAAAGAAGACATCCTCCGAAAATAAGACCTACTTACAGGTTTCCTTCTGAGTGAAATATAAGGCATCCCCTGAAAATAAGGCCCCCCTTAGGCTAAACATGAGAGATTTGGTCCACTGATTCTGAAAGAAATGGAGTCGCAAGAAATTCACCAGGAAATTCAAGAATTGGATTGTTATGATGATGTTCCAGAAGATGATGACATGATTGTCATTGAATAAATGAGTAAATTCTTGATACTGTAGGATTCAGTTTGTCTGATTTGTGTTGACAACTACTGTACTACCGTACCGTATACAGGTAATAAATTTCCTTTATTTTCATTTAACAATAAATGTGTACCGTATTCTTCTTCATGGAAAAATAAGACATCCCCTGAAAACAAGACCTAGCGCATCTTTGGGAGCAAAAATTAATATAAGACACTGTCTTATTTTTGGGGAAACAGGGTAGATAAAAGTTTTAAGATAAAAAACACACTACTGTACAAAGTGTCTCATCTAGTTAAAAAAAAAAAAAACACTCTAAGTTCGATTAACTGTATGAATAAGCATTTTATTCATATGACTTAACTGCATTCCCCCCCCCCCCCCCCCCAGGAAATAGTGTGATAGAGCAAACTCAAGAACCTGGGACTCTCATGACAGTTGGGAAAAACTCAGAATCTTGGTAGCCTTTAAAGTTATGTTAAATGTCATAGAAAAGTGTCCATTATTTAGAACTCCTTTCCCCCTCCTTTTGTCCACCTACGCACTGCATTCCTCAGCCACAGAAGTGAATATGTCTAAAATCGGCGTTGGTTTTGATAAGCCACGGTGACGACATCAGCCTGAATTCTGTGAGGTCCCAACAGAGCTCTCCGTGTCACTGCTTGTTGTCACTGATTTGTGGCCAAGATTTTTGCTCTAAATATACGCCACCGGTCAAACACAGGGATCCTGGAATATCTGCTTTGTCAAATGAAGGGCATGTTGGGAGGGAAAAGGAACTAGTGGGTCTATTTTTCAATACAAGAGATTTAAAACGATAAGTGGTACACAGAAATTTTCTTTAACAAATTTTTTAAATTGATTTTAGAGAAATATGAGGGAGAGGGAGAGAGGAACATTGATTGGCTGCCTCCTGCATGCAACCCAGGCATGTGAGCTCTGACCAGGAATCAAATTAGTGAACTCTAGGAGCATGGGATGATACTCAACTGACTGAGCCACACTGGCCAGGGCAGTGCCAATGTATTTGATGTCACTGAACTGGACACATAACCCGGTAAAGTTTACTACAATTTAAAATGTATATTTTACCATCATTGAAAAGGAAAAACGACATGTGTGTGGGTTCTGAAAACCATATCCATGGGTTTCGGAAGTTTTTTCACACTAATACATGTCCAGGTCCAATATAAAATCTGTGAAAACTCTGCCGGGTTGCTCTTTCTGCAACAGAGCTCCTATTGAGCCGGCCTGCTTGAGGCCTCAAGAATCCTGCATTCACCAGGAATTCATAAACAGCACTTACCTGCAGAAATCTCCAGCTAAAAGTAACAGAGAGGAAAGTCTGAGGTAAGAGTGGCTGTAAGACGAGGAGCCCGTGGCAACATCATCTGCTCCCCCCAAACTGTGCGCCCCTGTGCGGAGCTGGGAAGCACAGAAACCTCTACCTCCTTCCCCAGGATTGGCCTTACTCTCAGTCCTGAATAGCTGCCATCAGGGCCAGCAAAGGCTGGTGGGCAGGAGTTACAAGGCCTCCTGGTCCACGGACTCACTGACAGTTCAAGCCCTTCCAGAGGGTCCAGCACCCTGCCTAAGAGCTGGGGCTGGCTGCAGCCACGCGAGCCCTTCACTCTCTGCCTCTAAAGTAAAGTGAACTTGTTAGGAGGGCGAGTGCGGGCTGGGCTGGGCTGAGAGAGTGCCCAGAGGCTCCAAAGCTGCAAGAGCTGTGCCTGCCCGAGGTCGCAGGGAGAGGATTTTGTAGCCTGAAAAGCACTTCAAGGTGGAAGAGGTATTTGAAATAAGGGGGAAACCCAGAGCCACAGGCTACAGCTGTCATCACCATTCTGTTTATAATGCACCCAAGAGAAAACTTTATCTCTGCAGGCGCACTGAACTCAGACCTGGGTGTCCTCCGACTCTCTCCGATTAAAATGTGAGCGTCCTGGGGGTCTCCACGTGCGTATAACCAGAACCTAATGCAATCAATCTATGCTACTTTGATGGCGCTCAGCAAATAAGTGAGGGTCTCCACTAAGAAGTTGCCACCCCGATGTTCTACAGATGCAAACACACCTCTGCAGGTGCTGTCCCTTGGAGATAGATGTCTCTCTTGCCTGCAGGTGCCCCGCTCAGACTTCCCCATACCCCGGCACTACCTACCAGCAACGGTGACCAGCAGACCGACAGCACGCACATGATCCCCATGAGCTGGATGGCCGTCTCGGTGGTGATCCTGCCCCACTGGGCGCTGGACTGCGAGGCCATGGCCTTGGCTCGGCAGCGGGACACCAAGGCCTTGATGGTGGCCAGGTTGCAGGCGAAGGTGACGGCGAGCGCCGAGAGCCCCAGGAAGGCAAAGGTGGAGGCGAAGAAGAGGTTGCCCCAGTTTCGCTGGGAGCTCGTCCCGTTGTTGTTGCCGCCGCCCCCTCCCCCGGTGCTGATGAAGCACCACGTCCCGGGCCACTGCACGGTGTACTGGCCCACGCCCAGCACGGGCAGCAGGGCGAAGGCCAGCGCCGCCAGCCACACGCCGAGCAGCACCGCGCGGGTGGCGCGCGTCTTCATGTGGCTCGCGTACCAGTGCGGCGCGCGGATGGCCAGCGCCCGCTCGATGGCCATGGCGCTGGCCACGAAGAGCGAGGACAGGCCGAACACGGTCATGGTCAGGCCGAAGAAAGTGCACAGCCGCCCCGACGGGTCCAGGTGCTCCCAGCGCTGCTCGGACAGGTACACCACGATGACCACGGGGCTGGTGAGCAGCTGCCCCACCAGGTCGGTGAGCGCCAGCCAGCCGATGCACAGCAGGAACGACTTCTTGCGCTTGCTCTCCCGGCGCCGGTAGCTCCGCGACACCAGCAGCATGGCCAGCGCGTTGCCCACGAAGCCGGTGAGGAGCATGGTGATGGGGTACACCACCGACACCGAGCGGCAGTCCTCGCCGGGCTCCGGGGCGCGCGTGAGATTGCCCCGCGCCTCCGGCGAGCGCCCGGGCGCCCACAGGCCCGGGTAGGAGGAGTGGTTGAGGCGGGTGCAGAAAGGGGCGCCTCCGACGCCCCGGGCTTCCTTCATATTCGCTTCGAGGGGAGAGTCCGACGGCGCCCGGAGAAAAGCAGCGGCTGCTGGGCGGCGGGGCGCTGGGGGAGGCGGCGGAGGTCTGGAGCGACCCGGGCAGGAGCCGGGGCGGGGCTGTCTGCCATGGTGCGGGCGCGGCCGCCGCCTCACTCACTGGGCTGCATGGACCGCGGCGCTGGGCTCTGTGGCCGAGGTAGCAGCCGCGCCGTCGGCTGCACCGGGAAGCCGGCAGCTCCCGGGCTCGCCGGGCGCCTCGCCCCTTCTATAAGGACGGGGGGCGGGGCGCCGTGGGTGTGGGCTGGGAGCGGTGGGAGGAGCGGGGACAGCCCGCTGAGCGCGGCTCTCCGCAGCGGAGGGAGGGCGACCCTGGCCGCGGGAGGTGGGAGAACAGAACCTCCGAGGGGGATCCTGTGGAAATGCGCGGCTTCGGGCCGGACCGGACGCCCTGCCCGCTCTGCGTTCCCACCCCAGCGTCCAGGGGTGGCGGGGGCTGAAATGTCTCCCGGGGCTTCCCAGCCCCAGGCTGGTTGCCAAGGCGCACCGACAGCGCCCGCCCTCCTCCTCCACCCACAGGGACCGATCCTCCTCCCCCTGAACATCTCCTGTATCCCGGGCAAGTGCAACTCACCTGGCCCAAAGTATTCTAGGCAAACCACACTCCTTTGCAAAGTTGATGGTGAACTTTTTTCACTTTCCTACTTCAGGACTCTGGAATGACCGCGAGCAGGAACGGCTGGTCTGAACCCCTGAAACTTCTAAAACTAGTAGTGCCTTGGGACTCAAGGAGATAGGTACAGGGAAACAAAATAAAATCTGATGGTCGAGTTAAAAAAACGAAGATATCCCAGCTCCCACCTAAATTCCCCCTCCCGGATAAGACAGCCAAGGTGGTTAGGGGCAGGTGGCCGCCTCTTGCATACCTGAGATCCTGCAGGCAAATGCTGCTAGCTGTGGGAAATGGGGGTGGCAGGAAGGGAGTGGGGGTGGGGGTGGGGGCGCAGGAGAGAGGCATGCTTTCACAAAGCCTCCATTCTTCTAAATTAAGAAACTAAGACTGGAAACTATTTGGATGTTTGGAAGGCGGTCGCCTTCATTGAGTGCCTAGTAATGTGTTTTATTAAGATAATAGTTTGTTTTCACAAGTATGTCCTCATTTTATCAGAGATCCTCCAAGGTCCCCTTGCTATTATTCCGTTATGGAAACCAAGGCTCCATAAAGTTAAAATAAATGCCCAACGTCTTTCTTTCAGCAATTCAATTCCCGTCTCTTCTCACAGCACAGATGGGTACCATCAACACACTCAGATGAAAATCAATGGTAAACACACTCAGATGAAAATCAATGGTAAGACCAGTTGTTGCCAAATCTCAAAAGGGCTTGCTTTGTCCATGAAAGGATTGTGAAAATTATGTACAAACTTCATTTTCCCTCATATTTAAGACAGTAGACCTAATCAGATAGACCTGACCATGATTCGGACTTCAGATCGACTTTTATTTTGGTTTAAATTTCTTTATTAAGGTATCACATATTTGTTTTCATCCGCCCATTCCCATCCAAAACCCCTCCCCACGCACCCCCCCACCCCTTCAGATCCACTTTTATAGTTGATCTTATCAGTTTGTCGTTTCTAGTTGGTATCCTTGGAAAATGTAAATAAGTGGTAGATGATGAGAATGGAATATGCATTCTTTTTTCTAAATGTTATTCTAAAAGGTTAAGTTTTTTAAAATATATTTTATTACTTTTTTAGAGAGAGGGTTAGAAACATCAATGAAACATCCAATCAGCTGCCTCCTGCACATCCCATACTGGGGATGTGCCTGCAACAAGGTACATGCCCTTGACGGGAAATGAACCTGGGACCCTACAGTCCACAGGCTGAAACTCTACCCACTGAGCAAAACCAGTTAGGCTCTCCTGCCTTTTTTTCTGTGCTATTTTCATACTGGGAGTTTGAAAAAATATCTTTATAAGATGCTATATTTTTTTAAAGGATAAAAGCCAAAATATAATTTAAAACACCATTTTAACATGAATTAATTCCATTACTAATTTTATTTGTGATTTTCTATCATACTTTCCAATTTTATTTCTTTTTAAATGTCACATTTCTAATGAGAACAATAGCAAGGAAAAAAGTGAAATGGCTTACTTTTTAAATGTTCACTAAATTTTTGTCTTTGAATTATTCTTAACCCCAAAATTGAGAAAGTATTTTTCTAGAATGTCATTTGAAAAATAAAATGTTTGATGGCATTCTTAGATATACACTTTATCCAAAGAAAGTACACTAATTTTTAAAGAAAGTACATTAAATTTTTTCAGAAATAAATTTCTAGTGTAATTATATATTAAAAAACATAAGATCTGTCGAGACCGATTTGGCTCAATGGATAGAGCGTCGGCTTGGGGACTGAAAGGTCCCGGGTTCGATTCCGGTCAAGGGCATATCCCCAGTAGGGGGTGTGCAAGAGGCAGCTGATCGATGACTCTCTCATCGATGTTTCTAACTCTCTCTCTCTCTCCTTTCCTCTCTGTACAAAAATCAATAAAATATATTTTAAAAAAAATAAGATCTTTTCATGATTCATATAGCTAAGAAAGCAAAGCTGAATTATTTTATTATGAATGTGACTTTAAAATTTTATTTTCTTAACAAAACTGAAGAAGACATAGCCACAGAAAATAGATTTATGGTTGTCAGAGGGAACAGAAGTTGGGGGGTGGGGTGAAAGAGAGAAAGGGATTAGAAGTGCAATCCCTTTACAATTGATAGCTTAAAAAATGGCAGGGATGTAAAGTTCAGCATAGGGAACAAAGTCAATAATATTGCAATGACTATGTATGGTGCCAGGTAGGCACTAGAAATATTAGAGGGAATACTTTGTAAAGTTTATGATTACCTAACCACTATGCTATATACCTGAAACTATTACAAAATAATATTGAAAACTGTAATTGAAAAACGAGTTCTAAAGTTCTTAACCCCTTTACTCACATCTACACTAATGCATTATTAGATCTCTTGTATAACACTTTCAATTTTTATGTTTTGTAACTATTCACTTGGCAAAACTGATTTGGAGGATCTGAGGATTCACATAAATAGAACACTGGCAGTTGTATTGTCTGACATCTTTTAAAAACAAACTCATTTTAGAGAGACAGAAACATCTGTGTGTAAGAGAAACATCCATAGGCTGCCGCTGCTTCTCACTTTGACTGGGAACCAACCAGGGACTGAACCTGCAACCTGAATATATGCCTGGACCCGCAACCTAACTGCCAGGCCAGTTAGTTGCCTGTTTGGTACTTTCTGATGTTAGAGCAGAAAAAGTATAAATTTCTGAATTTTGGTCACCAGCACCCTCTAGTGACCAAAAGTTCTAACAACAACTTCTGAAAGACACATTTTGCTTAAGAAACCTCTGATAGCTTTCCTAGGGGTCTATTGACTTAACTCTGGTTCTTTTGTTTTCCTTTGAGTGCACAAACTGGCATTTCTGCTTAATTGATAAACCAGTGGAGGATTAAAATTAGTTAGATAATTAAATAGCACGTTCAAATGTTTTTTAAAGATTTAAAGTAAATATTCACACTAGAGGCCCAGTGCACAAAATTTGTACACTTGGGGGAAGGGGGTCAGGTCCCTCAGTCCAGCCTTCACTCTCTCCAATCTGGGACCCCCTGGGGGATATCTAACTGGCAGTTAGACATCCCTCTCATAATCCGGGACTGCCGACTCCCAACTGCTTGCCGGTATGCCTGCCTGCCAACCTGATCACCCCCAACCACTACCACCAGCCTGATCAACATCTTACTGCTCCCCTGATGACCTGATCACCTCCAACTACCCTCCCCTGCCAGACATCTTGTGACCACATGGGGGCAGCCGTCTTGTGTGAGGGTGTAATGTCAATTTGAATATTACCTCTTTATTATATAGGAAGATACTATATATTTTAACTAAATCTTTACTCTAGAAAGGATTTTAATCCATAAATTGTATTACTCTTGCACCTTAGATTTTAAAATTCATAACTATTAATATTGATTGAGCTATTTACTTCTACTGAATTTCTATTAAGAAATGTTAACATAGCCAAAACCGGTTTGGCTCAGGGGTAGAGCGTCAGTCTGCGGACTGAAAGGTCCCAGGTTCAATTCGTCAGGGGCATGTACATTGGTTGTGGGCACATCCCCAGTAGGGGGTGTGCAAGAGGCAGCTGGTCGATGTTTCTCTCTCATCGACGTTTCTAGCTCTCCCCCACCCCCTTCCTCTCTGTAAAAAATCAATATATTAAAAAAAAAAAAAAAAAGGTAACATAGCCCTAGCTGGTCTGGCTCAGTGGACAGACCATCAGCCTATGGGTCCCAGACCCAATTCCAATCAAGGGCACATGCTGGGGTTGTGGGCTCGATTCCCAGTAGGAGTGCAGGAGGCAGCAGATCAATGACTCTCATCATTGATGTTTTCTATCACTCTCTCCTCCCCCCTTCCTCTCTGATATCAATGAAAATATATTTAAAAATGTGTATGTATATATTTAAATATATAAAAAGAAATATAGCAGATGTTAACAGACTCTCTTATCAAACACTGATTACCTGACAGGCTGTTTGAAGGGCTAGGACAAGGTAAAGACATGGTCTATCAAGAAATTCACCTAATTCCTATAACTCAGAAGTACCTAATACTAAGAAGTACCTAATACTAAGAAGTACATTTTTAGTATTCCCAATTGAGTTATGAAGGCCAAGTGTGAAAGGGATAACAGTAGAGTGTGTGCAGGGCATTTAAATAACAGGAAACTTTTACAACAATGAAAGTCTATCTCAGGTAGTTCATGTGTGACCAGAGATTTGGAGTTTGGGAGGATGAGATGGTGAGATGTCAGTACTAAAAAAAATAAACATGACATTTTTATGACATATAAAGAGATTGTAGTTTAATCCTGAAAGCCATGGAAAGACACGGAAAGAAATAGCAAAC